ATCTGTAATAACATTTGGACCCAAGTGTAATAAAGGTCCCATCTGTAATGGCATTTGGACCCAAGTGTAATAAAGGTCCCATCTGTAAAAACATTTTGGACCCAAGTGTAATAAAGGTCCCATCTGTAATAGCATTTGGACCCAAGTGTAATAAAGGTCTCATCTGTTATGACTGAGATAATATGACACATGTCGACCACAACTTAACAGTCTATACATAGTTGGTATCTTAACTTACAAAGGTGACATCACCGGTCATGTGACCAAACGGAACGAGAAAAAAGTTTTGGCAAATTTAGAACTGGCTATGAAACGTGCTTCTACAAAAATTCATCGCTCCAGAACAAATAAATATGTTATTCGCGTTCACTTATATAAAAAGTCAGGCTAAACAGTTTTCAACGGCCTGTGGGATCTGTTATCATTTTTCCCCTCTGTCTTCTTGGCATTTTCGGTATTTCACTCACGCCTGAATTTTACTGGTGGGATTTCATGACTGTCAGTACTTGTACTGAAAAGGAGTACCTTTAATTTATTTTATTTTATTTTTACATATATAAAAATTAGCGAAATCTAATAGCATATGTCGTTGCTGAATACAAAATATACGGCTTAAAAAAACTTGAGAAGTTCCTTATTTTAATCAATCGATGATCGAACGAATAAAGATAACCTAAGAATTTTAACGTTATAACAACAAAAATCACTCCACTCATAAGAGCGCAGTAAAGCAGTACTGAGCACAGCTTTTCTTTGCTTAATAATTCTTAGTGGCAATGACCTTATTTGGCAATGACCAGTGCCATTTAGCTAATACTTTGCTAGCCATACCAATAGGTATAAAATTCAGTTTGACAGTGACGTGAAAGCCATGAAGATAAAATTAAATGGCAGGGGTTGGTTTCCCTAGGTCACGTGATTTTACACTTTTTATCTCCTGATTGGTCATAATTTGTTGTTGGTATATTCTCGGTTTAAGTATAAGGAAAACTTTCACAAATACGGCCTTAGTTACACCTGGTTCCAAATGTTATTACAGATAGGACGTTTATTACGCTTGGGTTCAAAATGTTATTACGGATGGGACCTTTATTACACTTGGGTCCAGTTATTACGCTTGTGCCTTCTACATATTACCTATACAAACTGTCGCACTTTATAATACCTGTGGCACTTTGTAATAAAAAAGCTGTCGCACTTTGTAATAACAGACCATCGCACTTTGTAATAGCACTTGTCCACTTTGTAATAAACTTGAAATGGAAGGTCGGAAGACAAGTAAACCCAATGATAAGTATCATCATCAACAACAGCAACAACAACAACAACAGTAATTACAATAACATTAATAATTGCTTATTGTTATTATCATTAAGGATGTTTTATAATGATTATTATTTATATAAGGGCCACTCATAAAACGGCCGCCACAATAACACAAAATAATGTACTATGCATGGTCAATACTCGGGGTGTTAACGAGAAATGTCAGCGTTAAAAAATATCATAAGAATGTTTGGACCTTCAAGTGGTGTCGTGTTTGAATTACGGCGAATAATCTCAAATCAAAAATGGGCGAATGCTTGGCTGGTACTGCGTTATATAGGTCTTGGATAGTTTATCATCGTATTATCATGCACATATTTAATTTGGCGAAACAAGTAGCATACTTCAAAGCTCTAGGTAGAGACACTTCAATATTTAGCTAGAGAGAAAGAACTTGTGGCAACAAAAGGCGAAAAATGTCTTTTTACAACTTAAATAGAAGATGGAACTTGAGCATAAACGTTCGAGACAGATCTTTTGTTATTAGTATCATTGTACTTAAGATTTGGTTTTCGTGTTTGCATTTTTTTACGTTTTGTTATCTTAGCTGGGCCACAGTTTGCGATGTCGCATTTTCTGATTATTATGAATCTATTTTGTTTCATGTCGGTTCTAGCACATTCGAAATTTCCACAAAATTAGCAGTCATTGTGGCACAATGACTTGGGCAATTATAAGTGATATGCAATAGTGCGATAATAACGACGACAACGATGATGATGATTGTCTGATTATGATAATGATTATGGCACCGTGTTGTGCTCAATGTTAGTGTCTTTTGGTTCTTTGAAATATTAGTAGAGCGCTTATTCATGGTAACAAACACTAAAATCTCTGATCATATCCTCGCAGGTAATGAAACCGGATTTCTTCGTTTCCCGTGCTACTAGTAAACTTCCAAATTATTTTGCTTATACAGTCAAGAACACAGTACATTGCTTTTATGGAAAACCCGATAATACGGATAGCAGCTAAATTCCAATAAAAAATCCCATCTTTACGGAATCTCGCTATCTCATGGTCTCGACGTCGTCCGCATACAAAGAGTCGTACATGTAATTCTCTACAAAGATCTTGAAGCCGGACGGCCGCAGTTGATGTTAACACTTTCCTCCGCCCCCACTTGAGAAATTCGGGTGCTGAAAACCTTTTTCTTCAGAGGAATGTTATTATTATTATTATTATTATTATTATTATTATTATTAGCTTCAAAACACGTTTTTCGGCAAAATCTCCAGGAGCGAATGGATTAAATTCTCACGCACAGTGATATACAGATCCAAATCTCGAAGAATGTATTGCAGCTTAAACTGAAGCAACATTAACTATTAGTCCAGCTGTTATCGACCAAAATTGTTCAAATTAGTGATACAAGCATGAAACTTTCACAGATTACTAAGGGCCCTAAGGGTAATATTTTCTGATGTAGGGCCAAGCCGAATTAAGCTCTGGAGTCTAGATCTGCGCATGCCCCGATTTGCTAGCATGGAAACGAGGCTAAAAGTGAAAAGCGCCTTAAATGAAAGAGTTTTAGGAAAATAAGCATCAGTTATGACAAAACTAATGATTTGTTGTAAATTTTGATAAACTTTAAGCTTTTAATGCAGTCACGTGACCAGTTATAACGTTTTTTTTTTCAGGCTTGGGTACCCTGTGGTGAAATTTTGTTTACCACGATTTTTCAATGTTTTATGGAGCATAATTGCAAGGGATTCGGTTTTTTGCTTACATATTTTGTCAAAAATGTAAAACGCAACTCCTAACACACACTATGCATAACTGTAAAAGCCATCTTGCAATGAACTGAAACTTGAAGACTTATCAATTTGGCATGTTTCCTCATTCTTTAGACCGGCCGATATAGAGAAATATAAATACAAGTATGGACTTTCCTTAGAACTTTTTAATGTCCGTTCATATCTAACACAAAAACGACTAACAATACTTTTGCTTCTTGAACTCAAAAACTATCCCTCAAGTGCAATTCTGAGGCTTATATATTGTGCGATGGGCTTTATAACGATGATTGAAACAATCATATGTGCCCAATTTGTTCTGCTACATAGATGATAAAGGTTTTCTTTTTGCGTCAGTTGATACCTAACACAAAACATATCAATCATGTTTTTTCATGTTTTGCTTCTAGGACTCAAAACCTATTATCTTTGTACAAGTTCGAGGCTTACATATCTTGCAATAGGCTTTATATATACACTACATATATATACTTTATCACTCGAGTCACTACACGAAAAATTGGATTTACACAAATTTTCTTGGTGCAAATATGGTGCAAAAAAGTGCAAACTAGGGGGAAATTAAAAGCAAAGATGGTAAATACCGCATTTGCTTGCCAGTTTACATGGGGTTGTAAATTTTAGGGCAAACGCGGTATTTACCACCTTTGCCCTTTATTTAACCTTAGCTTGCACTTTTTTGAACCAAGTTTGCACTGAGTGAATTTGGTGTAAATCCAATTTTTCGTGCAGTGAGTGTTCTTTAACTATTGCTGTTGGCAATTTCCGCCACATTTGCAGAGGTCTGTGCACACCAGATTAGCCTTCATGCACTTGCATCTCTCCCTTCATGCAGTTTTACATCCACTGTGAATAAGTTCATAGCAGGTGTCTTTTGCTTGTTTAAGAGTCGTCCAACACGGTGACCAGCGACGCGCTTGACGCTGCCATCCCCAGTCTGCAGGGCTAGAAAGTGCGGGCTGGCACAAGAGGGTTTGGCCACAAGTATGAGCTCACTGAAGTACTGCTCGTCTGATGTGCTGCTCAAGCGCTGCTTTAGTTGACGGTATGCTGTCAAATTCCCTTGATTTCTTGCAGAAAAGCTCCTGGCGTGCTTCGTTGACTTTCAAAAGACTGCTTGTTCGGTCATAGAGAAGTACCACAAACCTTTCCAAGACAGCAAGTGATTCTTCCGTGATGATCTCTAGTGAAGCCTTCAAAGCGCATAGAACTGGGGTCAACTCGGGAAAGACGTTCCAAACATCCCATGCAGACTTCTTTCCACGGCTGCGGAAGAATGAAACTGTGTCGGACCCTGTCAAGGCGTGGAAACACTCTTGACCGTATATGATGGGTACTACCAGTTGCTTCTGGGCGATGATGAGGTCTTGCTACACTGTTAAACACAATAAGTTGTGAGACAGACACACACGCCTGATTAGTTGAGGGATCAATCTTGGTGGTGGGACCCTTAATAAGCATACCACCTAACGAGAGCAGTGAGGCAGGAATTGAATTCTTCTGGCATTCTGGGGAAAATTTTTTCATTGAAAGAGCTATCTACTTTTAGGATGTCCTTCCTCACTATATGAGCTGCTCTTACAAGACCCCATGCATCGAAATCTCTTCTTTTCGCTTCTGTCAATATCCCTCCTATGTCATGTCTTGAAGCTAGTATGACTTCTCTGCCTTCTGGGTGAGCCGTAAGGTCCGGGACTGCCTCTGATACTCTTTCCCTTAGACGGGTGGCATTGGCTTTTCCACTCTAAGCTCCTACCTCCTTGAGTTTACATTGATAAAATTTCACTAACTCAGAGAGTGTCAGCACCCCTGGTGCTTCCTGTTCATGGCATTCCTCAATGTAACCTATAAGCTCTGCAAACGCTAACTCTTCAAGGTCAACTGATGAGCTGTCGGTAGCATCGGAGCATTGTTTCCTTAATGGCCCAGTTTAACTAAACAAGCTGCATGATACTTTGCTTCGATTGCTATGAGGTCGCCAGTTGAAAGTTTAGTGATGAGTTTACTGTCATTCAAAAGAATGGTACAATCTCTGACTTGCTTGTCCAATTCCAGGGTAGAAGCAAGACGTAGGTTGCTTGCGAAATCATTTTTCTCGCAAAGGAAGCACTGCAAGATTTTGGGATCAAAAGGAGTAAGACTACGCCTGGGTTTTATAGGACTAGACTGGGCCGTTTCACTACCATCTGCGTCACACCCTTTTTCTTCTTCTTCTACGTCAGATTGTTTTTTTCTTTGCACGCTCTAATTCATTACTATTATAATTGTCTCTGCAGGACTTGTGCCAAGAAACTTTGTTTTCAAACATTTTCGATGTCATGTTTAGTTTCATCAAGAAATTGAGTTACAGTTATCCCAATTTCCTTGAATTCCTTCACAGCCTTGATGAAAGTGCTGTACCCTATGCCTGGGTCTTTTCGGGTTGAATTCGCAGGACATTGAAGACTCTCGTGTTTAGTTTTCTGGCAGATTATGCATTTCCCCCAATCCATGTTCAGCTGAAAATAAATTTTTAACTCAGTTTATTGGTGACTTCAAGGCTCACTCGATGATAAAAAAGCCGCAAAGAATGGTTTAACTAGCCTAGCACTATCGCCGAAGAGCTAATTAGAAATCCTAATCTAATTAGAAATCCTAATCCAATCCTACAGAGACGCCACAGTTGACATGACTAATTGCCTTTAGTTAATAACAAAAGCTCCATTTTACATTCAAAGTGTTTTGTTCTTGTAAAATTGCCATGGAATTTCCCGAAAAAGGCTAGTTATTTTACCAAATGCTGTCTTACCTGAGAGAGCTGGAAGTACACTTCATGGACGCCCCCAAAATTGAAAACCGTGAGAGACCTGGGTCTGAGTGGTACATTGAATACTAAATAGATTCCCTTGCTATCGCCAAAGACAAACGGGATGATTTTAATCACTTGGGCACAATGGCAAACAGACAAGAAATCCCTTGTCCTCATACAGTATTAATTTATTATTCTAAATTATAAAGAAACAAATAGCAAAGTGAATCGTAAAGAAAAAAGATGAACAGCTAGAAAATAGACTTTTTAAGTGGCCACATTAAAAGAAATAAAACAATTTCACTTTTCTGGTATATCTGTGGGCTAAAAACCAGTTCTTCAGCAATTGTAATGCACAAAACATTGAATAATCGTGTAAACAAAATTTCACCACAGGGTACCCAAGCCTGATAATTAAAAACGTTATAACTGGTCACGTGACTACACTAAAAGCTTGAAGTTTATCAAAATGTACTACAAATTATCAGTTTTGTTATAACTGATGGTTATTTTCCTAAAACTCTTTCATTTAAGGTGTTTTTCATTTTTAGCCTCGTTTCCATGCTAGCAAAATCGGGGCATGCGCAGATCTGGACTCCAGAGCTTAATTTGGCTTGGCCCTACATCAGAAAATATTTCCCTTAGGGCCCTTAACAATCAGTGAAAGTTTCATGCTTGTATCACCAATTTGAACAATTCGAGCTTTTTTTGGTCGATCGTGACAGCTGGACTAAAGAATTGCGATGTGACTCAGTCATGATTGCTCTTAAAGCAATGAATTTTAACTCCCCGCTTGTTTTTATAAGGATAACGTGAGTCTTTGGACTGGAGCGCGTAGTTTCTCCGTTGGTGATAACTTTTGAATATGCTTAACAGCCTTACGACTGTTCTGTTATTGCCATAGGGAACCCACGCTCTTATTAGTAAACTTCAAATGGACATTGAACATCGTTTTCGCGTCGTAAAACAACTTCCATTTCACTTCGCACCACAGCAGATTCGAGGATAAAACAAAACAGGTAAGATTTTATCTCTTATTTAATTACTAATAAGAGCGTGGGTTCCCTATGTTATTGCCACTTTGATCAGGCAAGACCATGGTTTAAGTTCTCCAAGCGAACCTCGTCAGTTGCAGGGTTGGCTTTGTTGTGCTCACTTGCTTCTACTTCTGCTAAGAAAATCTCTAGTTATTTGTTCTGTACTGTTATTTCTTCTGCTCTAGTTATTTTTGTTCTGTGACTTCTGATTAGGGAACTTAAGAACCACGACGACGACTTTGTCGACGACGACCGGAAGTGCGTTACAGTGCACTGCGCAAGCGCGACCAACAAATTTTGTCGTCGTGGTGTCGTCGACGACGCCAAACAAAGTAGAATCACGTCGTCCTGCAACCCACAAGCTTCGGCAGGTATAAATCCATTGTTTTTAAGCGATTTTTGAAGACCTTTGCATTTTTGTATCCTCGTAAATCCAGGTATCCTTTCTTTTTTCTCCTAACAAGCAATGTTGATTGAAAATTCGATTAATAAATTGTTTTTACTTCGAAGAATGAAAAAAGCTCTGGAGGCGGAGTGAGCGAACTCGTAAGTGATAAATTTATTTGTACGTATTTAGGAAAGGCAAATCATATGTCTTTAATAGATTAATATAGAGGAGATAAACTTTATATGGAAAACAGCTATCGCATCGGAATGTCTCTTTTTCCAATTAAATCTAAACCCTGACAGACACTCGGATTCAGGTTGAAAGTTAAATAATCTTCGTACGGAAAGCAGCTGTTTTTCAATTCGAAAAAGTCAGACATCACAAAGAATTCTTCACCGTCAATGAAATCAGATGTATAGCTTAAAAAATAAGATCTTCCATTGTTTTAAAAGACGCCATTGCGAAAAAAATTTGTTGCGAACGAACAACACAGTTTTACATTTGTGTTTACATTCAAGTGTCGTCGTCGTCGACCTACCGACCGACTGCATCTTAAGTTTCCTTTCTCCCGCCGAAACTGACGTTCTCACTCCAATCTTTTCCCAGTCAACAGACGTCGTCGTCGTGAACTTCGTCGTGGTTCTTAAGTTCCCTATTATGCCGAGTGTTGATAGCAGCTGGCGCGTTTTTGACAGACGTTAACAGATTTCCATGAAAGAACCAATCAGAGTTTTGCGTTGTGAGAGCAACGAAAAAGGTCAAAAGCTTGCAATGGGCTTTGTCTGTTTAGTCCCTCATATTTCTCTCTCACCGCCGCGTCTCGCCTTTCTACGCGTGGGGTGATCTTCTCGCGCGTTCGCGTTTCGCTCCTTTTCTATCCCTGATGAGGAAAAATGGGGACTACTCGTAGTCTAGTAATACCGTCATTAAGTGGCCAAAGCAACTCCGATGTTAATGAAACATAGATACAACAAATTTTCATCTTCATATGATACAGCTGTAACGTGGTAAGTCACTCAAACTTACGAGGAATCCTCTCTGAAAAAAATCAGTCTAGCCACCTTAATTGATACCTGCAGTCGTTTCCAGTTGACGTTTTGTCCAAAAACTATGGCCCAACGCGTTTTTTGCCCTGATTTGTATTTCGTAAATATTGTTACTTTGAACATCGAGTTTCTTGGAATGATCTTTGTTTGACAGGTTGAATCTTTGCTCGGAATCATCCGCTAGTGATGATATGATGAGTTCATATCCAGTTACTCCACTTCCTCCCGTCTGTTTCCACTCCACTTCTATCGTACGGCCGCAGTCAAAGGCGACATTTTTTACAACTTCAGGACGTGGTGGAACGTTAGAGCTGACTGAAAATAAACCATATTAAAGGAGCTCATTATCTGCTCAAGTGAATTCAAACAGTTTTAGGAAAACGACTGCACTAACAGTGGCAAATAGTATGCTAGGGACGTATACGTAAGGAGAATGGATCAAGTGAGTCTAGTTGGAATGAGTTGGAAATTGAAGTAAAAGGAAACGGATGATTAAGGTTAGCGGGGTTAGCCGTACGTGGTTTTCCATCGTGTTTTGCAACAGGTCTTGTACCTGTTCTGCCCCTACACAGAGTCAATTCAATAAGCTGTCTCCACATGTGTAGGTAAATAAGGCTGGCTTTTGCTTTTAGATTCTTAACCAATAGCTATACTTGTCACGTTTTTTTTTTTTTCTGGATTTAATCAACCCAATATATATATATATATATATATTTTTTTTAACTTGAAGGGGTGACCGGCTTTATTAAAGCTCCCTGCCGCCTCAGCAAAATAAAAGATAGGGAATAATTTGTAAGTCTAATTATCAAGAAGGCACTAGAATTCTCATCAAACCTTACAAAGTACAGTTTAGAGCACAAAACATACCATATTCATAAAAAGGAACGTCCTCCACAGCAATTTCCATGTCAGAATCAAGGAGCGCACACTTGTATGTTCCAAGATCTTCCGTAGTTACATTATTAACATGAAGATAAACGACGCCTTTAGTTTGTTGACAAGAATTGGGAGATGAGAACGCGCTGAGTATTTTATACTTCCCAGATACATTTGTTATTTCGCTTCCGTTTTTGAACATCCATTTCCACTTGTAAGAAGCCATTTGTTGAGCATTTAGCTGCCTGGCCTTGCAACTCAAATTTACATTGCCGTTTGGCGCCATTTTAAGAGGAAGGGAACTTAGTTTAGATACTGTTGGTGGACCTGTTGTGCAAATTGGATAAACTGGTTTATTTCTTTCTGCCTTGGTGGGGAGGTGAGAATAAATAAATAAATAAATAAATAAAAACAGCAAACTAACAAAACTCAACAATAAAATGGTTCATAAACTTAACGGTGCATTAGTCACCGGGAAATAAAAACATACGAAAGACGATTTTTCAAGCTAAAGGGATTTAAATCAAAAGGAGATGGCACCAGCTCAAGGTGTCCGTTTTTATAAAAGCATTTGACCGCGACCAGTTCATTTGGTGATACCAACTTGTTCCTTTTTTGCCAAAGAACGAAAAAAAAAGAATTTTCCGTAGAAAATATAGTTTATAAAAGAATTCGGAGCTGGGCCCCAAAGGGTTTCTTGCACAGAACAATTCTTTTGGCGAAAAAGACAAGAACTCAAGTCAAAATAAACTTCAGGCCAGGGCTGTTCAAAAGATGGATAGAGCCATCCAGCGGATAAATCAGTATCCAGTGGGTAAGTACTAGGAAACCCAATTGCGTTATCCAGGAGATAGAGATTTATCCGATGGATAGCGTTATCCAACTTTTGAACAACAGGGGCCAGTACAATAAATAAAAGGACAGACTTCTTATACAAATAGGATGTAAAAAAGCCGCTTTGCATGACGTTTTCATTGCGTGATTCCTTCGCAAAAGATAAAATAAAGGCATGGCATATCTGCCAAAACAATTACCGGAGGTGATGTTTTTTTAATAGATGCCGGCGCGACCTATTTTGACGAAAAGGCACTTTAAGATCCAACGACGCGACAGCAACGAGAACATCGCTTAAATTGAATTTGCGTTCTCTCAGTCTTTATCACGATTATTCCTACTTACTTACTTTGTCAAATCTACGCGAATCCCCCTGAATTTTAATTCCAAGTGACCATACCCAAGTTCAGAAAGCGAAATAAAACACGAAATTAGGCATTTTCACGTCGTAGTCGTGCAAAAACGGCAAATAAAGGTTTAAAAAAAGCGCGATGAGCGTGTAAAGTAGTTGTTTTATTTATTAAATCAAGCGCTTGATTAAACCTACTGTTTTTTTAGACGTTCTCGTTGCCTTCGCGTCGTTGAATGTTAGGGCCTGTTTACATGGAAATGAGGGACCACAGGTTGGTGAGGTAACCCGTTAGGTGGGGTTAAAAAATAACCATCCTTTACATGCGATATTAAAACCCCGCCATCCCGATGATCCCGGGGTGCACTTTCGCAAGATTATTGAATGGCCGCTAAGCACGTAAACAAGAAAAATGCTGGCAAACCACATGTTTTGGCGATTATAGCCTGCGAAAACATCCGTTTCTCCTCGCTCTTCGCCGCTGGGGACGTTTCGCGCGGAGGAACGTCTGCGGCTCAGTGGCAAAAATTCCATACTGATGACGCAAATCAATGTTTAGATAATAAATCCGGCAGTCATGGGTTTCCAAATACAAATTTGTACAGTTTTACGTGTCTTCTGGTCGATTTTGGTAAATTTTTGTGTTCATCTGCCAACGAGCTCCAGCTGAACTCAAATTCTTCTTCTAGAGAAGAGTATATTCAACAAATATTGACTGTTTTGCTAGAGATTCTTCGCGTTTACATTTGACCTCTGTGGCCTTTTGTCTTTTGTCTGTCACTCGTAAACAATAGCTAAAACAATGTAACTACTCTGTCGGCCAATCAGCGCTTCTGACCAGATTCCGGACAGATTTTGCGTCATCAGTATGGAATTTTTGTCGCTGAGTCGCAGACGTTCCTCCTCGCGAAACGTCCCCAGCGGCGAAGAGCGAGGAGAAACGGATGTTTTCACAGGCTATGGCGATTAATGCTCTTCTAAACTCACTTGCTGCTCTTGCTGCAACCTTCAGTGCTGTGGCTCTCTATTGTCACCTTTAATAATGATGGAAAGCCACCGCCAAAGTGAATTTTGCGCGAATTTGATGTATCACGAATCCTGCCCCGGCTAGGCGGGTTACCCCACCTTGAAAGGTTTACATGACAAAATTTGACCCCGACTGATCGGGTTACCCGGTCTGACATACCGGGCTACACCCCACCTATCATGTAAACGTGATCAAGTTAAAATGAGCCGATTATATGGACAGGCGGGTTACCCCACCTAAGCGGCTTTAACCTCACCTATCTGAGGCCCCCCACCTCCATGTAAACAGGCCCTAAAAGTCCCTTAGGGCGTGCAAGGTTGCAGCAAGAGCAGCAAGTAAGTGTAGAAGAACATTAATCGCCAAAACACGTGGTTTGCCAGTATTTTTCTTGTTTACGTGCTTAGCTACCATTATGTTGAGAAAGTGCACCCTGGGATGGCGGGGTTTTAAGATTGCATGTAAAGGAGAGTTATTTTTACCCCACCTAAGCGGGTTACTTCTGCACCCACCTCCATGTAAACAGGCACTTAATGCCCGAAAGGAAGGGGCGGATCACGCTTGGATTTGACTGAGCCATGGACACGGAAAGCGAAATCATATCTTCATAAGTTTTTTTATGAGTGCAATGAGTGTTTTTTTTTTCTCTCTCTCTCTCTCTTTTTTAACTAAAAATAAATAAATAATAAGCATGATTGCTTTCTAATTTTCAAAACAAACTTTCTTTTCAAAGCGAACCAGATTGTCGTCAGCATGCATATGTTCTTCACTCTCATAAACCACGATTTTAAAATTAGCCAATGATTTGAGTGATTGAATAAGACAAAAGCTGACAAAGCTGTCAAAACACCAAAGCTATCACAAAGTGAAACGAGCGAAACGTTCTGTGAGTAATGCAGAAGAAATGTACATTTCACGCCCAAAAATCAGATTCTAAAGGTAACTGAAGTGCCGTTATATAACCGGCCGTATTCCGGCCAATGAAAACCTGGACGTCGTTAACATGACAATTTGAAAACAAAATGCTTTAGCTTCGTATCGAAAAGTGCTCAAAAACAGAACCTGAAAGTAGAAA